GGTTACGCTGTAGCATGGTATGACTTCAGTGGAGTTAGGGCTATGATAACAACCAAAATTACATTACCTTTGAAATCCAAAGCCAGACAGACTCACTTTGGCAACGAAACACACAACAAATCACCAGCACGCAGTCTCAAAACACTTAGCTTGTTCATTCACCCAGACTGATTTCACTGTTGGATAAAATTCTTGGTTTATTCCTAAAGCAGGGGAGCAACTCAAAGCTCCAGGTACTAAACATCAGAGCTTGAAGGCACTGTACAGAAGATGGAAAGAAAATGGACATGCTTTACTAATGCTTTCTTCATTGCGTTACAGCGATGGTATTACTGAAAAGATCTCGAACACCTATTTTCAAAGCAGACCGACCTTTCGCATTTTTCCTGAGAGAAGCTAATACAGGTATGGATGCTGTGTTTCAGTAGCAGAATCCTTCACAAGTAGAACTGAAAGCAATAACAAGTTCTTGGTAAATAGTGTGCCATTCTTCAAGCCAGGAAATTCCAACAACCATGGAAACAGAGGGTTTAGGGGGTCTAAAGCATAAAGAATACAGGGTAATTGCTTTTAAGAGAACGTGTGATAGTCATAGAAGTCAGGGAAGCCAGATTATCCTTTTCTTTGTATATGTAGCGTGTGCTCAGAAAGATTTCTACCATAATTATAGGCACTAGAAAGATCTTGCAGTTCTTAAATGCCCCAAGATTAGGGACCAACCTCCACGAGGCGATTCAAATTACAAATGGGCTGGGTCTGCTGGATTTATATCTGAAGAAGTTAAAATAGAAAGCTTTCCCTATAAATGAAACTTAGTCACACCTACACAGATGGCACAGAGCAAATGGACTTCTGCCTGTAGGTACACCAGGACTCCAGGGCCTGAAACTCCCATTACCAATTCCCACCTCAGCTGCTTCTAGGGCGATAGCTCAGAAATTCTCAAGACCAACAATCTTTTGCCCAGCTACAGCTCAGTGTATGCAGAAGCAAGCTTACCTTCCCTTGTATCTTGAATATCAACACCTTCGAGAAGACTGTTTTACACAACTGGACTCTTCACTACTTTAGTATCCTCACAAGATGTCCAGGTTATCAAAACCCATGGATATTCACTGTCTGTAATCAGGTAACTGAGCTCTGGAAAAAGCCGAAACTTGTATCTTTCACTTTTGCAAGGAACTGCCAAAAACCAGAGGTTTCTTTTGCAAATGATAACTCTTTTTCTTGCGAATGAACTCCCCCAGCCCCCAAAACAAACCAACAAAACTGCAGAGCACGTCGGAAAGAGGGAAGCATCACAGTGCTCCTTTGGCTTCAATATTAGACTACACATCTCATTTCAAATGACCAATCACGCAAGATACTCCAGAATCTCTGCCAAAGGGAGAACACCACGTAGCTCGTCAGCAGTAATAAAAAAGAATTGCATTATGTACCATTTAGCAGGTGTTTGCTCCTCCAGAGCATCAGGCCATCTCCAACAACTCTTACCATTCTTTGCAATGCAGTAACTTTGCACCTTCAGTAGTTTCCTAAATATCCTTCAGACCACCAAGCTTCTCTCCTAACTGGGGTCACATCCGTTTAGATTTCAAGGGAACATATCGCCATTTAGAGAGTTCACTAAAACACCGGGGCCTGGCAAGAAGACCAAAGAGAATCATTTTCCTTATCTGCTTCCAAGCAACACACTCTTAGTTCTCTTAGTGAGTACCCGCACACGTAACACGTAGCATTTTGACAAAAATGCAAACACATCTTTTTAAAGAAAAAAGCACAACCTTGGTAGGGGCTTTGTTCTAAATGTGCTTTGGCAATCATTACCATTCAGTCAATAAAAGTATTTTTACTCGGTAAGTGCAGAATTTAAAAAAAAAAAAAAAGGCACCAAAAGCTGATGATGAAACCCATGCCACAGACTCTTCAGGATTAAGAACAAACGGATTTCATTGAATGAAATTGCTCAGTTTACAGTATATGATAAATTATATAAATAGGAAGGAAATCAGATTGTAAAACAGGATTTTTATATGAAGCATGGCAAAATATATACCTTTCAACCGACTCAAAATCAGATGTTTCTGTAATTTAAGCTTTTTAATGCAAAAAGTGAAAACTGTGAAAACATTCAGTCATTTTGTTTGTTCAGACTTAGCGACTGAAGTTGTTCAGGTGTGAGGAGGGGAAAAAGTAAACAAGGTCTGCTTTTAGTACATTTTATTAATCTAATTGGAGGTACTTAAAACTTGCTATCCCCATAAAGTCACTATGAATCTTTATGTAGACCAAAAGTCTTCATTGCATCAGTCTTCTTATAATAGCAGAAATATACTTTCCAAGACTTAAAATCGTATAGTTCTATCTGAAATAATTGAAAGCTTGGGGTTTTTTAATCTGAATTTCAGGTTTGAACACATTCCCTTTGAAGGACAGGCAAGGTAACAGCAATACAAACAACTGAACCACAAATTAAACGAATCTGAGGCAGTGATTTCATTCGAGGGGTTGTAATAACCTCTTCTGTAACTACAATAGCAAACAAAAGGAATTCATTTAGGCTCTGTTTTGCTCAGTTCAAAAGTGATTCTTTAGCCAATGGTTTTGGCAAGTTTCAGGTTTTGGCAAGTTTCAGGTTTTGGCAAGTTTCAGGTTTTGGCAAGTTTCAGGTTTTGGCAAGTTTCAGGTTTTGGCAAGTTTCAGGTTTTGGCAAGTTTCAGGTTTTGGCAAGTTTCAGGTTTTGGGCAGTTTCAGGTTTTGGCAAGTTTCAGGTTTTGGCAAGTTTCAGGTTTTGGCAAGTTTCAGGTTTTGGCAAGTTTCAGGTTTTGGCAAGTTTCAGGTTTTGGCAAGTTTCAGGTTTTGGCAAGTTTCAGGTTTTACAAAAGGAATTCATTTAGGCTCTGTTTTGCTCAGTTCAAAAGTGATTCTTTAGCCAATGGTTTTGGCAAGTTTCAGGTTTTGGCAAGTTTCAGGTTTTGGCAAGTTTCAGGTTTTGGCAAGTTTCAGGTTTGGGTTACCAATCCAAAGCCTTTTTGGTTTAATACAGAAATGTTCGAATTATTCTCAGGCAAGCATGCAATTGCAGTTGATTTTTCCATTCAAGCAACAACTGATCACAGATCTGCTAGTTCTGTGCTTAATTTATGTATTTAAACTGTACTACACCTTGAAAATGTGGTCCCAAACTGGAATAACATTTTTTTCATTTACAGGTTCAGTGCTCTTTATAGGAAGAGTTACAAATCCTTCATAATAAACACTAGACAAACACACTGTCCTCCGTTCGTCCTATGAGCTTTCCTTCAATGAAATTAAAGGCTGCATTTTATGTATTTATTAAAACACTGTTTTAAACAATATCACATTTGCAAGAGTAAGGGTGAGCAATTTCTCCACTACCTTATTCCTTTGTACACGCTGCTGGAAACTTACAGCTATCTAGGAATCATTAGCACCACAACTACAGCAAAGATAGTAAGCATATAACCATTTGAGGGAAAACTGAACAGATTTTGCCACCTAAACGTTTAAGAATATGGGCCAACAGCTTCCGCTTAACTTCATCATGGCTCAAGGCAGCTTGACTGTTGCTGAGTATGTAGGTCACCTGAAAGAAAGCATCCCACCACAAGAAAACTTTGTTATGTATGTTATTTTTCAAGCACAACTTTATTACCCTGTCCTGAAGTCAAAAACTTAAGAACAAAATTGAAGTTCAGTCTGGCCCTCGACTTAGATATAATCCAGCTCAGATAGTAAGGTAACAAGCAAGCAGCAAAATGCTGTGAAAAGGAAATTAAGTTGAGAGGCTGTTTCAAAACTGACAGAACAGGTAGGAAGCAGAAATACCCACTCAATCAGTGACCAAACAAATATTGCCAAAATAGGTAGCCGTACTACCTTTAGTACCTTTTATTTTACTTTTTTTTTTTTAAATGAACACAGCATAGAATGGACATTTCTGAAGAACACTGAATGAGGCTAAAAGCATCTAGAAAAATGCTTTTTTCAGCATCCTGACAAAAGCTGGGATACAGTGAGTGTTTTAGTACAAGATTCAGCAACTCATGGCACAAGCATCAGAAACACAGGCCCATAAAGATTTTGGGTGAAGACTGCAAACTGCTGACACCTAGGAAAAGCATCAGATGGGAGCTGCTCCGCTGAATCAAACCAAGCTTTCCAGAAAATAGCAGCACGTAGCACACATGAAGGACATGGCGAATAAAGCACTCGGTGATATTTTGTGTCCAAGCAGCAGCACCTTCTGGCTGTTCCCACAATTTGTAAACATATAAAACCTACCGACACAGAAAAACTCTGTGCAGCATTCCTCAGGGCTACTGACCCCTGCTTTACCTCATTGTATCCCCATAAAACCGTGGGTATTGTCGTTGCTGTGGATGTGCATACAGTACATCAGTTTGTCGCGCTAGTCACCAAATAGTGAAGCACAAAGTACGCAAGGCCACAGGGTATCACCCTACCGTAGTTGTGAATCAGCATTAGCTTCCTTTCACTCGTTCTCCGATTAAGAACAGAATATCCGGCGATACAAAAGCACTCTTCGTTCTTTAACACCGATACTACAACATGGAAGCTCCGGAAAGGGAAGGCAAAATGAACCATTCCAATAAAAACTGTACTCAATCCTACACAAAGATTAAAATAGAGTTTTTATTGATGGAATAACAAAAGTGCTTTTCTTAAATATTTTTCAAAATACATTTATACAACTTACAATAATATATCCAAAATAACTGTATATACAAAACATTACCTTGTTTAATGTATGTGCTTTTTTCTTTTGAAAATTACAAAGCAACTTTTTGGCAAAGTTCAACCTTAGGAGGTGATAGTTTTGAAGGTTGGATTAAGAAAAATAGAACCTGAGGGAAAGTGACACTTAAGTCCATGACAAGCAAGAAGTTCTCCATTTAGTTAAATAAAAATGTTTTTGTGATATTTTTCACATTACAAAAATAACAGAAGTGAAGAAAAAAAAAAAGATGATGGATACTTTACTCATCATTTTATAGAGCAGCTTCTTATTCTTTCAGGTATAGGAACTTGAGATAAGAGTGCATGTCAAAAATGAATGCAAGTAAGGACAGCAGCGCCCTGCTGCGGCTTTCTCTTCTGTGCAGTGTTTCTTAGCTGCTGTTGATATGGTTGACCTGATTCGATCTGCGATGGATTTCTTCCAGAAAACTCTCAAGCTGTTCTATCAGCATTCGCTTTTTAAACCTGAATTTAAGAGAAAGCATAATAATGGATGCACACATTAATACATGAAACGTTCACAAAACTTTTACTGAACCCTGGAAACTTCAGTTATTATTTTAGGTCCAGTGCATGGTGAGGTTATAGATACCTCAGGTATATACACTGTCTTCTGAAGTTCTGGCAAACTACTAACTTGCTTTTCCATTTAATGAGAGAATACAGAACTACACCTACTGCAGTCGGTTCTAGCACATTGCTGAACACCACTCAGCCCTCAGAAAGCCAGGAAAAAAGAGAGTTGTTTGCTGCAAATGTAAATTTCTGAAGTACAGAAATAAAGTGTATGCCAGAAAATCTATAATCCTAAAGCTGGCAACAGCTTTTAGGGATTATTTGCATGCCTTCATGGTGCATTCGTAAAAGTTAAGTGAAGTTGGTACTGGTGAAGGAATAGCGTTACACAGTGCAGAGCAGATTTCCTGACAAGAAAATACAAATTAAAAGTTTGAGAAAGAAATTAAAGAAAATACAGATGTAATCCATACCTGGAGTCTCTGCAGTTCTATCCCGTATAGCTTACATAAATCTGAACAGCAGACCATTTTGTCACCTTTGCTTACAGCCCTGTCTCGGTGCACACAGCTCCTTGCTGTTTCCAGCTAGCCCTCCCCCCATGACATTTCTGCATCTGAGCAGCCACTTCTGACTGATGCTTTGGCAGCTGAACAGACACTCAAAGATAAGCAGCAATTAAAAGGTCACCCACTTTCTCAACTCAGTACTATTCTGAACTATACACAGAGTTCAGTCCTGTGACCTTACTAAACCCTGGCAAAAGCCTCTAGTCCCAGCCAGGCCTCCCAGTCCATGTTCTTGGCTCACAGAAACATGGCATCTGCCCTAATTCCCAGACCACAGACTTCCCCACAATCCCAGCTTGACTATGGGTAAACAAGCTCCCATTCCCAACCACTTACTATCTCATTAAATACCCATCCTTCTCATCACAGCTCTCCTCAGTAACCTCACAGAAACCCCACACTTCATCCCCTCCATTCTGCCTCATTGCTTTCACAACTGCTCCCTGCTTGTTGAAAAATATTAACTTGCAAAATAGATAATTAATCCTTCTCATTTCCTCTAGTAAAAGCCAAATTATTTAAGCTAATAGCAAAGTGCTTTACTGTAATACATCCTAGTGAAAATTTAACATGCTCATATTGTGTGCGAGTGACTGGGCAATGTTGCTTTCCACAATACCTTCAAGCTCCTCTGAAGCAGCTGTACAAGTTAACAGCAGACATTTCCTAGAAATTTAAAACCTGGTGGAAGGTGGGGAAAAAACACATTGCTAACTATTCTCACATTACTGTTGCCACAGGAATTCAGGTTTACAGTGCACTATGTCCAGCCCCTCAGTACATCTCCCTGAAAGTTCTTTTCCAAATGCTGAACGCTACAGGAAGCAATTTTTTTCAAGGCAACAGAAACAATTTACCTCATTAACTAATACCATAATTAACAGAATTAAGCATTGACTGTAATTAAATTCTGCTAGGAAAATTAGTACCCTTATTAATAAAACTTCTCTGAGTAGTTCTACCTACCAAGCATTAAGCTTCATTACTATTTTGAAATTGGTTGTATTAGTCCTTGCCAGCTCTATCACATGTGGGTATTGCTCAGCATTTTGTCTAGGGACACGCTTTGGGCTTTGCTACGTGTATTAGTAGCTTAAAGCTCTTAGTTTGGCGAATAAAAGGCAATTGAATTTCTCATACTGAGAAGTTGGTTGATTTGGAGAATTTTGATTTGTGTTTTGTCAGCATTTGCTCTGGACTATTTAGCAGGGAATAAAAAGAAATCACACTTATTCTTAGTGCTAGGACCATAAATGGATTGCTGTACCCACTCCAGAAACACTGAAAACCTCTCCACTATATAGGCTAATTTCTTTTAGCCCTTTCCTAAATAACTCTTCTTTTTGTGCATCTAAAGTTATAGCCATCTATTGGGAAGTCATGTCTCTTGTGTTCAGTAAGGACTCCTTGAAAACACTAATACTACCTGTCCAGGCTGAGCCAAATGTGTATCACTAAGCCTAAGAAAAGTCTTTGTCAGAGTAGAAATAGCCAAAAATTTGGAATTGAGATGTGCTATCTCCTCATCCTTAATGTTTTTATGATCAACTGGAAAAAAAAAAAATAAAAAAAATATCCATTGTTTACCCTGTCTTCATTTCTGCCTCTCAAAAGTGATAGCTTTTGTGCTACCAGAAGAGGAACTGTGGGGCAGTCCATTTTCAAAGGAAGCTGAAAACTGTGGCTTCTTTTAGAAGTCTTCCTCTCCCCTCACAACTCTCTAGTGGATTAACCTCCAGAATTGAATGAGGACTTTTTTTAAACACACCCTTTCTTGCTGAAATGCTCAAGAGCTTGCTTAAGTCTGTGTTCAGAGTCAGAGCTCCTTGGAGCAGGGGTAGAAAATCCCAAATTTGAATTGCATTCCGTGGCATTGCAAAGGACAGCTATCAGTTAACAAAACAAGACTATCCTGACAACTCTAGAGAGCCTACAGTTGTTTCCTGCAGGGAGCAGGGAACCTTGGTTAAATGTGATAGCTTGCCTGGTTAAGGAAAGCAGCAGCAAACTGCACAGGGATTGTAGGCAGTTATCCAGGTGGATAAAACGGCCACACTATAAAAATCTAACCTAGGAGAAAAGAGGAAGTAGAGAGATTAAGTTATTCCTATACTCAAACCAACACAAATCAAAGTTTAACAACTGTCAAGAAAACTTTTTCTACCAGTAGATGCAGAAAACCATTGGCTACGGTGAGAGACAGGACTTAATTCTGATGCATCCAACAACAACACTCAACCACTGGCAAATTTTGTAGAGAAAGAGTCAAGTCAAGGTGACTGGAATAGAGAGGCTGTGCAATGGAAGAGAGAATTACAGATGATCTGAAGAGCCTAGTTTTAGAGGCACAAATATTCCAAACCCCGCTAACAGCTGCCACAGAGTCTAGGAGCAACAATATTTTTTTTGGCGTGCTGAGACAGTGAGGAAGCAAGTACAATCTACAGGCTATGGAACAATTCTTGACAGGTGATATAACAATAAAGACAGATCAAGCAAAAGCACAATAAAGTCACTGTTGCTATAGGAAGAGCATGATCTATATAAGTCTATATGCCCCATTGTGCTGGCAGTAGAAGGCCAGAGGAGCTGTATGAATGTCCAATGTTCCATGTGCCTTAAACTCTCAGCATGGTTTTATCCAAAAATTATTCTGACTTTTATATAATCATAACATTTTTTTAATAATGCCACAGGAAAAAAAGCTGACTACTACAAAAACAGATTAGAGCAAAAAAAAAAAAAAAAAAGATCAACTATTCTTTGAGGCTTCTGAAATAAGCCTCAAAGTTACAGTTATGTTTATGATCCAAGTAAGATGCTGGAATTACTAGTTCATTTCCAATTCAAGCACTATTGGTTCCAATCATAATTACATGTTTCTGGTTTCTTTCCTCTTAGTAAACATGTAGAAGGCTAAGTAAGTATGGTCAGTCTAAGGATGCTGTAAGGAACAGTTTCTACCTGGATTACCACCACGGGGTTTAAATCCTCAGCAAGTGTCCCTACTCCAGTGACAAACTACCTCCCATTTCCATATGACTACAATATCTCTGAAGGAAATAAATCTGAAGAGCAGAGACCTGTATCTTTATGGAGCATACCTGGATCTCAGAACTATTTTTAGGACAAGATTTTGAGTTGATGCAGAACAGTGGATTTCAACTGTTTCTGAAAGCCTAATTTACAGTAATATGCAGTACCATCAGTTTTTCAAATTAGCAGTACACTCACACTTGAACTTGGGAGCTTGAATGATTTTCTAAAGTTACCTTCTCTTTCTATACTACTGTCCACCTACATTTATGGTGATTCAGCAGTTATGTCTGCTAACATTTTTAAGACTAAATCTGAGACAAAAAGGTAAGCTTGTGCAAACAACATGCATCAGGAAGTTTATGTGTTTGTTTTTTCCTAGGGAATTATTTACTTGCACTGCAAAGCATTGCGTGGCAAGTTTCAAACAAAGAACTGCATGTTTGTCAAGTAGTTATGTATGGCAATACACAGTGCAATTTTACAAGATTAATACAATTTGGTTACCTACCTTGAAGCTTCTTTAATAACATTTTGTAAAAATATGAGTCGGGTTTGTAAGCTTCCTTGTACATGTTTCAGTAGAAAGAAGATTCTTTCATACTCTTAAAGAGAAGAGCAAAACCACAGTTACTTAAGAAATGCCCAGATAGCTGTTGTAATAGATCTGAGTGAAATCTGAGCAAAATGCAACAAGATTTCATTCAGCTTTTGTAAGCTTTTAGGATATATCTGCTATCAACCAGGCTTGTAGCCATGACATACTGTTTAATGAACACTAACAAACACAGGGTACTGCAGTTTAGGATACTTAATACTTAACAAGCTAATTCTAATACTGATAACATAAAAAACCTGACTTCCATGAACATTGATAGGTATTAGCAACGTTTTAATCACTCATCCAGGAAGTTTTTAGTAGAAGTTTTAAAACAAATCTTTTCAGGTTTAAATTTATTTTGCTTCAGTCTCATGGTTCAGTATTTTTCTAAAACAGTGATCCAATATGAATTCTTTGTCTAGCTCTCACGTCAATCATCTGAAAGAGAGATTTGGTATACTTACTCCTTCCTGGTTTTCGGATCTCTTTCATAATTTGTGCTCTTAGCTCCATATTAATCTCTCTGGAACTTCTGCAATGCACTGTTTTTTTCCCTTTGCTTGGTGAAGACATTGGCAAGTTTTCTTCAGTACTTTGTTCTTTACTACCTGATTCCTCGTGATTCTCCAAAAACCCATCAACATTCAAGTTATTCCCTAAATGTTCATGGCCTACATCCTCTGTATGAGCTGCTGGTCGATCCAATGAATTGAATGGAGAAGAGGACATTGAAAACTCTGAAGCCACAGTATTCGGGAAAACATCTGATGAAAGTGGGTCTGTAACATGATTCTCAACCACATCATCCATTGTAACCTCATTATTTGTTTCTGATGCTGAAAAAACAAAGATTACACTTGCCAGTTTCACATTCTTTATCATTTGATAGAGGTCAATGAGTCAGTTCAGTATTAAACTCTTGAATAGCTATGCTCCAGCTTGTATAGTCTACTGTACACGCTAGGCATAAGAAAAAGTGTGTTGTAACACTGAGCACATTACTGTATCTTTTGGCAATTAATGGCTTTAAAAAAAATCACAGGTATATTCTTTATATGAAAAGGGAAATTACTATATGGACTACCAGCAAAAGAAAAAGCACCTGTAAAACGTGGGTTTATGACATGTTTGTCTTTCCCCATTAAATTGAACTAATAAAGTTTACTTCAGTGCTGAACAGCAAGCAAGACTTAGGCAGCACCTCAGCTCCACACTAAGGGAAGTGAATTCACAGTACTATAGCAAAATTCAAATTAACTTCACGTTGTGATACTTTTGGAGCATCTGAATTCCCAGGCAAAGGAAGAACATCCTTCTGGCTGTTTACATTGTCTCCTCATTTAATACAGGAAATACATTGTTTATACTGGGATGCGCATATGAAAGACTTCTGTCTGGAGGACTATATTAACTCTTTTGTGTAATTAACCCCAGATTCACACTTAAAATACTTTATTTTCCAAAAATAAGGGATAAAATTGCCATATTTGGGAAATCAGCCAATGGTATTTCTACTTAAACAAGTTTTTTGCATAAATGAAAAAACAAGCTATCTAAAGACAATGAAAATTCACTTACTTTTGTGAATAGGAATAGGTTTAACAAGGTCAGGCTGTGCTTGTGTGATTGGTGTTGGTGGCCCTTTTCCTCCAATGTGGTTATTCACAACCGGAGGAGTTTGCGGTCGACCTCTGAGCAGGGGGGACATACAACGGCGTCTTTTCGGAATCCCTTGCATATTTGGTTCTCCAGGTCTTTTATGTTTATTTTGAGGTCCTGATACAAATTCATCTGCTTCATCTATCATCATTCCCTGGAATTAATTTAATGGGGACAATTCTTAAGCTTTAAGCCAAACCCACAAAATATAAAATATAATGAATGCTTTGACATTATGATGATGTTTACCATGTATAAGGCAACTATGTACTACATGCCACCATTCACTGAGTTCTCAACTGCTGACCAAAGTAATATGGGAAAACTGTATCAAATCCTTCCTAGATTAAACCAATGTGTTTAAGGTCCTCATCCAACAGTCTGGCAAGTAAGACAACTGAATGGGCTGTCAAACTGCCTTTTCAGTAATTGCACAATGACTCATGTATTTAGAAGAGCTCGAAATTATATTGGTAATTTGGTCAAGACAGATTTGGACAAAAGGGAGAGTCCATGCTCTAAAAAGTTATGGGAAGCTTTTTACGGGGGAAGTTTGGTAAAGGAAATATGATTGGGTATTAGCTGTACTACAGTGACAAAGGCATTTCATTTATAATGCAATTCAGAAGCATAATACTGGTTTCCAATAAAGACTGCCCTCCATAGGATATTACTGATGGAAAAACATCTGAGAGACTTCTTGTAAGCAGTGCTTTCCTAAATACTTCAAAGTGTTTCTCTGATACATTGCTCTTTGAATGGTCTAATCAGCAGCACACACACTCAAAACAGCACATTTTTAAAAAAGTGTTACAGAAAAGTCACCTTTTTGTCCAATTTGAATGGATTGCCAAATGTATGGAGCCTTCGTGGCTGATCAGGATCAAGCTCTCGGAGTGGAGAAGGTATTTGTTTTAGATACTCCTGGTAGTTTCCCATTTGTGCTATAGGTACACTGTGAACTTGATCTATCATAACAGAAGGGTTTATTAACGTATGATATTGCTCACCTTATAAGAATTTACTCTATATCCACATCACATCTCCAGTTTTCAGTCTCTTATCAAATGCATTAACAAAATAGATGTGAAAAACTCACCATTATTCCTGCCTAACTGGTATTCATAACATCGTGCTTTGAGTGAAGAAAACTTGCTTAAATGAATCAGTATGTGTCATTTGTATTTATCGTTATGAGAGGTAACTAAGAAATAGTTGTCATGCATGGATGTTAGTTTTCCAATGTGTCCCATAACTTTTCAACAGGGTAGAAGGATGAAAAAAACTGAGACCGGAAACAAACAACTAAAACATTTCTATGAACAAAAGCTACGTTAATGCAAAGTAGTAATGCCATGCTGCATACAGCTTTGACATAACTCTATCCAATTTTAGCCACCACCTAAAATTTAATTGTTGAGACTAGCATTTTCCCAAAGCAACAGCGATTTTTGACCACTGGAATCAAGAAATTCTTAAAACCCATAGGACCCAATTCTAAACTTCTTATGGATTTAGTTAAAGTTGCCAAGCCTTTGATCAAGCAAAACATACACTAGCAGAAATAGCAGAAAAAACCTATTAGTTTTTATATGGTTTAACCCCCTCCCCAAAGAGCAACTTCTCTGCGTTTCACATTACATTATCACTTGATCACAGATGTTAATCTGACCCAAGTAGTGGCAGGACTAATGTAACGTACACTTTCACTTGCATTGCCCTTCTCATTTCCTCCACTTGTTTGTTAAGATGCCATAAAGCAGTGCCAAAAGACATGGTAGAAAGGTAAAGGAATAAATTAGCAGACTAATGAACTATATGCTGTTGGCCTGAAGAGCAAACGATCACACTGGCAGCACCCAGTGAGCAACTTTACTTTTCCACTGCTCACAATCCACTTCTGTGGAGAGAGATAGTAACATTCAGAACTGCCCTGTGATTTTCTTCTCGATATATCATGAAATTTGGGAAAAAACAGTGAACAAAGAATCTTATGTAAAAGCCCAAGTCTCTTCACATGGATTAAAGGACAGAGCAGTGAATCCCCATCTTCTTTACCCTCACTATTTTTACTTCCAGCAAGTTCTTTAAGGAAAAAAAAAATCTAAAAAACCATGCAGTTTAATGGCAGTATCAGACACCCACTAAGTTTTAAAGAACGACACTGTTACAGTCTTCATTTTTTTTTAGTACCAATCATACCACAGTTAGGCAAAAAATAAGCTGTTATCTAACCTTCATCTTGTCCTTTGAGGAATTTGCGAGTACTCTTCAGTAAATTAGATCTCATTCGTGTTAACTGATCCAAAAGATTTCTTCTGGGTATGTCATAAGCATTTCTAAAAGTCTGAGGTTTTAAATCCTATGGTTCCAGCAAATAAAGTTCCAATTAATACCATGTATGAAACAATATCTAGCATTTCAATGGAAGTATATTGAAAATAACAACATTACACACAGTGGTGCTTACCTTATTCAGCAAAGCTATTTGGAACCCAGCATACTCCTTCATATTGAGGTCTAGAGGTCTATGAGGAATTTCCCCAGTAATCCCCTGTAGCAGATGTTGAAAATCGTTCCTATGTGCCATAGACAGGTTGTGTGATCTGCTTCTGACCTTAATTCCAGTCTCTTGCGCTACCTTTTTGCCTACAGAGCCAATGACTCTATCGGACTCTATTTTGGCCTTAATTTGAAATAAATAAATAAATAAAATTGACAATATGCTCTTAAAAGGATTAGTCAGACTTATTCATTTTAAATTCCTACCTAGAAGATTCAACAATGCGCTAATATACTATGACGACCATAACCAGGATGAGTGCTTAAGGAGTGCTTAATACATAACCACTTAATGCTTACTACAGTTTTAAGTATAGTGAACAGTTTGTGCCTAGGTCTTCTGCGTATTTCTCCTCTGCTGCCCATTATTGTTATCTAAGCACCAATATGCATGCAATGCTTTTATTTTCATAAAATGCCATAATTTAACTAGTAAGTCTCTGCAAATCTATCTGTACTCATATAGACTGTTTTCTACAATAACAGCTAAAAACTAACTCTCAAAAGACCGATTCTCCCACAACTATAGTTGCGATCAGTCACACAATGGTATCGACTTTTTAAAAGCTCAATACAAATAGTCATAACATTAATAAATATGAAATACATGATAATACCCAATTCTGTTTGACTAGACAGACCTAACCCCCAATATTATGTTAGATTTGTAACAAAATTAAACATGTTCATAAACACCAGCTTTTTTTGGCAGAATACAGCTGAACAAAGAGCCAAAAGTAATTTAGTAATACACCTGCCAATGTTGGCTTTGCAGTTTCACATAAATTTGTAGACTACTCAGCATTTGAATATGGATTTATTAAGAATACTGAGTCTTTACTGGCAGAGCCTTTCAGAGGTTAAGTACAATTTGCAGTGCACGTCATTATGTGTTAGGAGTCAAAGATGTCTAGGTTGAGAGATCAGTTCACAGAGTACTAAGCAATATGACTGATTTAATATGACACACTGTAAACTTAAAGAGGTTTGCTTCCTCATATAATTATTTATATTCATGTTTTAAGAGAAAGCTGGTCCATAAGAACTCATTAGCTAACTTACAAGTACTTGCACTACTGTTTCTTGAAGTTTCAAGCCTACTTGCATTATTGTATTATCTTGAACAAGAAAGCTTAACATGCACAGTTCAACAAAATAAAAGTGGAGGTAGCAGGGCAGAAATGCTTTAGCTGGTGCAGGAGACTAGTCAAAGATACGGGCACTATTCTGAACACAGTCAACAATTTCAAAAGGTCACTTGCCACTCCTATATCTGTATCCTTATTTGAGATTCTGAATTATGTCACTTTACATTTACTGAACACTTTCCATTTCATTTCACAAGCCAAAGAAAGGACACTTTCTGATTCAGATGCACAAAGTACAAATCTCTATTTTCTGAAAAAAATGCTAGAACATCTTTAATATCTAAGGTAAGACAACATGTTTTCTTTTGGACAAAAGTATGTTATTCTGTGTACAAGTAAAAATGCTCCTTAAATAAAAAAATAATCTCAATTTTTACCTCCATATCTATCTTTATAATCCAGTCTATAAAATCTGTATTTAAATGTCAAGTTTTCCTTCAATTCAGAAAACCAAAATACTTTTTTGCTAGTTACTTATGGGAAGGTATTAACTAGATCTTTCTGCTCTTTTTTTTTCCTTCAAAGCCATTGAATTTCAGTATTTTAATATTATCCTGATATTAGAATAAGTTTTTACTGCTCTTTTGCTTCAACATTACCTGCTGACTCAACTTTTTGAGATATGAAATGACACTGTAACTAAGTCCGTATTCCACATTGTCAGCTATAAGGTTTGGTGCTCCCATCATTCTCACAGCTTTCTTCAAAGGCTGAAACATGGAATAATCATAGAGTCATATTTAACTTTGCAAGTGTTGTATACATAACTCAACTAATTGTATCCATTTCAAATAGAACCTAAGGTCCTCAAAGTTAGAAAAGAAGAAAAACAAAGGCTTTTAGGGCAGCACTTTTTGTTGCTGTTTTAAAGCATTGTTCCATTCATACAGAATCAATTATTAGCAGAGATATCATTTATATACAAGTCACAGCTGATGAAATTTTCATAACATTCAGGTCTCAAGCCTTCCACAGGACTCCAGTGAAAAAAGTAAGTAGCATTATGCATGAAGTTTAGCTATTCTCTGTTAAATAAATACATATTCTACTTGAAATAGGGAATACACCCATAGTGGAAAGATAACTATAGTTACATAATAAAATAGAAATTTTAATACAGTAAGTCATCTTACCCCAAGATAATAAGGAGGCATTGTCTTCAAATAGCTTTCAAATGACTGTCGCCATTTCAACGTAGGCTTTGCCTTGTGTACTTTAAACAAGTCATCTGATGGTTACCAAAAGAAAAGAGACAAAATGAAAGGCATGTCTAGACAGAAATTTTTCATGTTTCAAAGAAATGCCAATTGCTCAATGCTTAAAATAATATATGTATTTTAACATATACACAACTAAACTAAATATATACACATACACAATATTAATGCTGCAGCCAAAAGATGGAACCTGATAAATTATTTATCAAATTGAATTAATAACTGAGATAACAGATTGGGAAAAATGGCTCCTAAAATAATGAAAAAAGCGAAGCCAAAACATACCCGAAAGGATGATTAAGTAAATCTTACACATGGAGTCTGAGTCATGGAGGTCAGCCAGTTGGTGACAAGTGCAACAAGTTACTGATGACAAATACATTGCTCACCATTCTACCTTTCTACAGGTGTGCGATTAATACTGGCATTAATTGCAGTAATCTATCTAGATGACATCAATTTTTCAATTGCCTACCACCTGAGAAAATGTTTATGAAGTGGTATTTACCTAGTAGTGGAAGAAGGACGGGATAATTGTAAGGCATCACAAATAAATTCACACAATTCAGCGCTGTACTAGCTTTCAAGTAACCAAAAGGATGACCAAGTTCACTGTATTTTGCACTATTGCTCACATATACCTGCAATAAAACACATTCTATTGTTATGTAAATCCAAAATACCATGTGCTGAAATCTTACATCCTACTTTGATTATAGAACAAAGTCTATTAAAAACAGCATTCCATAAATAACTTCAATTCAGTATGCACTCTACTTGCCTGCCAGCAGGTCTGAGGGGATTTTCTTTCCAGGATAAACTGGGTCAGTGGTGAGGGTTCTAACTCGTATTTATCAAAAGGCAGTTTGTCAATGACCATCGGTTCACAGTCAGTACAGGAAAATTTCACCACAGGATGAGATGTGCGAGGTGGCTAAACACAAGCATTCCACTGTTAACAAGTCTGCACAATGATTAAAATGCAATTGTGCTACAACAACTAAAGTAATACAGGTTATTTGAAAACACACATATTTAAGGAGCTTACTCAATACAGGATTCATATTTATTGTTAATGAGTCCTAAGCAATTAATTTATGACGTTAGTGCTGTCTTAAAATCTGAAAGAATCTTGTTTTCTAAATAAATGCCAATTATTTTACCTAGTAAGTCTAGAACAGCATGCAAGTAAAACTTCTTGCATATACACAAAAACTTTGCAAATGGAAGTAAATCCCAGTGGGGACAAAAAAAAAAAAAAAAAAAAAAATCTTCAACACTACTCTTGGGGCATGCCCGTTTTTATTCCCCACAGAAGCAGGCACTGTACTTTTGCATTTGCTGACTTCCCCCAGCACTTTCCTTCTTAGCAAATTTAACAGTTACAAAATGCAAACTGAATTATAATGACCAAGAGCAGCATGAATTCAGAAAAAAAGAAGCTTTAGAAGAACTCACATTTTAACTCAGCCTGTGAAAAATCATTTCAGTTCAAGCAATTTAAGTGTATGGATTTTAATCTTTTTATTAATCACAGGGAAAAGGCTTTTGTGCCTCGAGTTTCAAGTATCAGTTAACAACATACTTGAAATTTCTTTTGCTGAAAGGGAAAGCTGATTTTTTGTGTGTAATGAAAATTGGAGCTGTATGCCCTCCACTGAAAGGTTTTCAGGAGAGGAACGTAAGCTCTTATACTTACCCTGAGCCTCCTCCAAGGCCACTTAGAATCTGGGGAAGAGCTCAGTTGGGAAGCCTCCTTCCATTTACTCTCTTTACAAGAAGGTAACTAATAAATACATAAGATCAACTAGGGAAACACAGGGTTTCTTGAAGCTTCCTATCACCTCACCTTGAAAGTAATTTTTCTACATCTATAAGCTCTAGCCTCTTCTCCTTTTAGGATGAGCCACCAAAATGTTATCTGCCCACAGAGCTGGTCTTGCCTTTAGTGCCTCCACTCTGAAGAAGGCATACTGTCCAAGTGCACACAAAACAGGAGGCCCAACCAACTGAAGGAACCGTAATTCTCTTCAAAGAAGATGCCTCCAATAAATAGTTGTGGTGGAGTTTGTGACCAAGCCATGAAGCAGTTATACTAGGAATAAAAAGGCTGCAAAAGAAGTTCAATGCTAAGACTTGAGAAGTCCAACAACCCTTGGCTGGACAGCAGAACTATTTTTACCTCAGAGCAGTGGCAGCAGCCCCTTACATGTTGATCTGCCAACATAATTATTAGCAGACTTTCATATACATTTAAGAAAGCCATAATAGTATCATTACCTACAGTACATGAAACAGTTGTTGGGGTAGGACTGTTTGAGACAACTCCACTGTGGATCAGGTAACAGGGAAGAAAAGAAAAATATCTAAATGTGGACTCTTAAGTAGACAAGAATTACAACATATGCTAAGTTATAACGCTGTATTTTCAGAACAGTAAGGAAATACAAGTCTTGAAACACTATCAGCAAACTTAGCTCCCCAACATTGCATAAGGAAGGTTCAATGTGGAATTCCAATTGATGTCAACAGGAATTTAGCTGCACATGCAATAATCCAGTGCTTTACGCAGTTATGAGAGCTATACATGCTAAAACTGAGAAGAATTTTTTCTCATCTTCTCACCGTTCGGGTAAGTCAATGTTTTTAGCAGATTTAGTTCAACAACTCTTCACTTGGCAAGATCTATTTTAGCAATCTCAATCAAGATCTGCAGTTGCAGACAAACTGTACTGACTCTATGCAGTGAATGGAGGGAGATATGCCATTGATAGCGATTACAAGGAGTACATAGGACAGTTTTCCTACAGAGCAGATTTTTAATATCCAGTACACAATGACATTTTGGTTTTTAAATGACTACAGAAGATGTACTTTTATTTATGTATGCTAGCTTGTTTTGTAGTTCAGAACGGCATCCACATCCTTCAATGAATGTGGCCAGACACCAGCAATATCAAACCTATAAATGTGACTAAAATTTCATACTAGTATCATTCCTCAACAACCTGTATTTCAAAGGACTTCACATATTTTTCAAACAAAGGAGATAAAATTTATTAAAAGTTCAATGAGTTTGCTAGTCAGCACACTAGTTTCAGGTAAAAAAACCTCACAAAAATTCAACAAAAATCATCATGAAATGTAGGGAACGATTATATAACTGAATTATTTCTACTTCAATAATTTTCAAATATTAGCAGAAATACAAAAATACATTATACTAATGATTAGTTCTTAGACCAAACAAAAGGCAATGGCGTACATTCTTTTATGAAAAAGAATAAATAAAATTAATTCTGTGGACAGTATTTAAAAAAACAAGGTGATTTTTTCTCTGCTTGGGATAAACTGGAGGTAAGGGTACACTGAACAGCAGATGAAATTATATTCACCTGCTAGAATGAAGGCAGAACTATCACAAGGATTCAGAATTGGGACGATCGTACTATTTTCTATTAATACCATCTGCAAGGCAATAGAATTTGATAGTCTATTATCAAAGTGCCACCTTATTTCTGGTTTGATATTTTAACAGGGTTCAAACAGAAACACTACGTGCATGTACTAGGTCGACAAATAAATGTGTTACAGGCAGTTCCTTAATGCTTCAAAGCTGCTAAAAAGCAAACCCCATAGTATTATTTGCGCATCAGTAATTTATCTGAGCTAACTGCTACACAGGTTTACATGCATCATTCTTTCTTGAGTCATGCTTTTACATGCTTTTACACTTGCTACAACGAAGTACACATCTCAAGATTTAAAAATTGGTGAATAGGAAATCCTGGAATATTCCCCCAAGCACAAACCCTTTGCTTTATCTAACTTCAGTACATACCAGCGTTGGAGAATTTTGATCTGGCCAAAAGGATTCAGGAACAGGCCAATGACCTATAGGAACCCCAGTTTTAGGGTTTGGTCTGACATAAATAAGTTTGTGACAGCTGTGCCAAGGTTGGGGTCCAAACGGTCTAGATATATCCACCTGCCCATCTACAAAAGAAAAAGGCTTTATGAGTCAAAACAGTGTTAAAACTCAGAAAGAAAATTAAACAACTTCTGTGAAGAGTTTAAGAACTATACCCCCAGGGAAGCTCTTCCTGCAGTTCATATTATTTCTAAGAATAGCAGATAGTTGTCAGTAAGCATTTTTGCAAAAACCCAGAAACTATGAGAAACCAAATAAGCATTGAATGTTTACAGGATCAGCGCTAAGAAAGCCAATTATCTGGAGTCCTTCATAATAATCAGTTTCTTTCTCCTCCTACTGTTATTACCAGATAACCTTCAAATCTCCGTGCATAAAAAAAAAATTACACACACAACTAATACTGCTGGACTAACTTTTTATTGCAGGAAAGCAGGATTAAAAAAATCCCACAAACAGTTCCCAGTAACATCCTAAGACGAACCTAGCTAAGACATTTAGAAAGAGAAGTTAAGGCTGCACAGTCATATTTGCTATTTTAACTCTTAATGCAACCACTTCACTACATTAAACAAAAAAGGATAAGCGTATAAACCCACAGTGTTTCCATATCAAGCTATTTGCATCTCTAGCTGGTTGAAAACTACTGCTTAAAACTCATGAACCCACTTAACAATGCTTGATGTGAAAAACTGCATTTAAGACTACCTGAGTAACATGACCAAATGTAGAGGTTTTATACACTGTCTAGCAGCTATAGCCAGTATTTTGAAAAAGGACCACAGAATTTCAGACATAGCAGATCCTTTTTGTAGTACTGTCTCTTAAATTGCAACAGTTTTCCTTTTGTTTTGGCAACTGTTACATTAAGTTCACTAAATTATATTGAAATTCATATCCCTGTGATTTGATACCATAGGGTAAAAAACTTCAAGTACCATCAATTGGTGAGGGATCCGGTCCAGCTTTTTCAAAATTTATTACCACTCCACTTTGCACTTTTTGCACCAATGATTCAAGACACTGATTCAGCATTCTTGGAGAGCACACACAATATGATCGACCTAGAATGAAACAGTCAAGGTTAAGGTTGTTCAGTGTTTCTGCCCTTATTCTAACTTGGATCACTCAAAGCTGTTCACCCACCACACACATTGACTTATGTATGGATCACTGATTTAAAGCTTCTCCCGAACACTCCCTCTCTGATTAAGCAGCAAGGCAGCCAGTGACAGTATTACATGCACCTCATTGGCAATGTGTAGGTTTTAGCCCCTTAATGACTAACTCAAATTCTTGGTTGCATTCATGGAAAATGGGCTCCCCCTTGTGACAGACATCAACACTTAACTGTCCACAAATTTCAGTCAAAGCACTGTTGGTATACCCTACATTACAGTCAGAAAGCAGTGGAATCAAATCCTTTTGGAATGCTTTTTATAGACTTTTGCTTTCTATCACATGCCCTCTCAAGCATCAGAAGAATTGTTATGTTTTTAATATGTGTTGTAAGCAAACATTCTTACAAACAAATTATAAAATGAATGCCCAAATTTGATCTAGAATATAATTTCTAAGAGATTTTGAGTTATGATGGAGAGAAAAGTATCAATTTTAAAGAATTATTATGCATTCTGCATTGCAGAAACTCTGCATGCTCTGGAAGGAAAAAACCCAACCCAACCCATTTCCTTCACTTTTGGCTTCTTTAGAGCAGAGTATAACAGGAATTTAGCAAAACTGTACTGCAGAACAGATTCAATTCTTACAATTTCTAATTGCAGTACCAATCTGTGTTAGAGAAAAGTAAGTTTTCTCTTCTAAAAAACTACTAAAGAAAGCAGATTCATGCTCTTTTAAGACAGGCTACATTAAATTATCTGTCACTCTAATGCAGTAAGTGTCTTTAGTTTTATTATATCGGAGTTCTGAGTTTTTACAAAGTAATATAAGAACTTAGAAATACTTATTCCACAATGTGTATGTGATTAATAGAGGTAAATTGAATTCATTTTCAAAAGTATTGACTTCTCAAAGGAAACCAGGGAACTCACCTCCTGTGACTTCGCACATAGGTGTGATTGCAGAGTCATCCACCGGTACCCCTGTCATTTGCTCTGATTCCGGTGCTGTAATACCAGGCAAACGGAGAACCAAAGCAAATAACCTCTGATCCCATCGAAAGGGTTCCTTAGTCAACTCACTTCCAGGTAGAGGGGAATTGAGAGGTAAATGGAGCTGAAAAGGAATTTAAATCTGTGAATATACTGCTTTTAAAAAGTTCAGGCAACATAGTGCTGGCAACTCACTCTGTATAAACATACTTACAACCTCTCCCCAGATATTTATATTTTGATTCAGATACTGTACATTACAAGCAAGACACCCATCATTTAATCAACACTTCAAACATTTCAAGGCAACATGATGCACCAAGTTGAGTTACAAACCAAGTGGGAACAACCACATTTAAAAACTGATCTAAACTTCAGAATCAATTGAATATTTTCTTTAGAATTTCAGCAGTAAGAACTGCTGCACTGCAGCGTTCTTTCGTTCAAACAGTTTTCTGCAGAATAGAACCATTCTCAGCTCCGTCTTTTTTCCTTAACTCTTCAAGATAAAAGCACAACTGAATGAAAAGGTAATATTAATCTAAGGTTCCTGCAGAAGAAATATCACTTGGGCATAGCTGCTCAAATATATCTAGCTGCCAGGATCACCTCCTCCAAATAACTCAGCTTCAACAAGTGAACTAATGTGGTAGTTATGTTACAGAATCAGAAGGCAGAGATTTTACATAACTTGGGTATATCCCACAACTAAACTCATGCCTGTGCTTCAAGTGAGAAAGCAGAGATTAAGACTAAAATCAACACAGAAATGCAAAACAAGTTCTCACTTTTAGATAATAGATAACTACTGCCATGGCTATCCATACAAGGAAGAATTGCTTGCTGTGTGCCATTGTGTTGCCTCTGTCTGGGAAGAACTGCACTAAAGTTTTAGTTCAAAATATTGAAGATACCACCCAGGGACATACAATACATGGGAGCATTTCTTTTTGCTTTAATTCCCAGAAGAGAGAGTAAAGAGATTCAAGCTTCAGACTTCAAGCACGCTGCACTAAAGATACAGCAATGCTGTATGTAACTACTAACAGCAACAGCCAGAGAGTCTAACAGAACATCTATAATTCCCAGGGTTAGCAGTAGTTTTTTAACGAGTTAACTGAAACAAGAAAAAGATAATCAACACTCTAAGCTTCTAAGGGACAGCACAAAGCATTCAGAAGACTCTACCCTCTCTTTTTGCATCCAGACACCTGACACAGAGATTAGTGGAAAAAAGAAAGCTTATCAAAATATTCAACTCCAGAAGCCCTGAACAGATAGATGAGACTTATAACAAGTAACTGCAAGTTTCAGAAAAATGTGATAGATCCCTGGCTGATGATACCACTGTTGGTACAAGCAAAACTCTCATTTCATGTGGAGCACTGCAGCCATAAAGAGGAAAAAGAGATCCCCAAAGCAATTACTCAAGTGGTGTAAACAGTCCCATTACCTAGCCAAATACAAGGGTTAAGCCCAAAAGCTGAAGCAAACTCAACAGTTTCCCAAACACTTTCCTTCTCATGCAGCATTCAAAAAATCCCAATTCTCAATCTCAACTCTATGTTAGTGAAGGAAACCACTAGTCTGTTCCAAATCTTGGTGCAAGCCCACAAAAGCACCCATGACAAACTGGCTTAATTTTTAGTTCATAGTGGTTAGTTAAGGAGTTTGCCACAAGCTGTTGTTTTTTTGTTTGCTTGATTTTAAGAAATAAACTTGAAAGCATTAAACCTAATTTCCAAACTAGAAACCTCAGCTATTTCAATTTACATAATTGCAAGCATCTCACATATTGGGAAAAATACATGTCTTTGTATTTGAAAAATAATTTATTGATACAATCTCAAAGACAGGAACAAACACAACAACACCCCTCGTAACATGTGAGCAAGAATCAGAACACTTTGGACTTTCCAGCGCACCTGATGCTTCCTCCTGAATTTCTGCTTTTGCTGATGCAAGCAGAAGTGCACATGTGAGAAGAGCACTATTTTCCCCAAATGTTGTGAAACTGATCAAAGGGCACTCAGCTATGTACCTGGTTTATTACTGATTCACATGTATGTATTTTCCCTTTTCACAGAGAGCCAGCAATGCCTACCTGGCAAAGGAAACTCAGTTAAAAGAACGGCCACATTCTTAGTAAGCAGCCTAGAATCTTAACTGTAAGAGGACTCAATTGCAAGCACTATGCCATCCTCACTTGGGGCTATTATTAAGGAATGACATTACCCAAACTTTCCTACTTACATCTCACTGAACAGCAGACTTACTAGGTCTGAAGAGTACATTTCATCTGCAAAACATACCTGTATAACAGCACTTTTTACTTGAGGCAGCATATATACTTTTTCTTTTGTTTTGAGAGAGAGATTTATATAAATAAAGTATCCCATCGGACCCTGCACCAACACTATCCTGAGTTCAGTTTATCTCAAACTAAAAAACCTTTCTTTGGCTCAGCTGGTTATATGAAGAGAACCCCAAAATCAAACAGTACTCAGGGGCAGGCCACTGCGTTATGTACACATTACTATCAGAAATGTTTTCAAACTGTCAGATGACATGCAGAGCCATCAGCATCAAGCCAAATGTCTTCACTTTCTTTCTTACAGTTTAATTCCAGTTAAATTTAACATCCATGTTAGGGGATAAGTTGTAGATTCAAGCCAGGCCTCATTCTCCACAGACATTAGTAATTTGATCTTCTCACCTCCAGTTACTTTTTTTTTAAACTGGTGTTGTATTACCATAGCAACTGCATACCTAGCAGAAAATAAGATGGGCCTAGAAACACATCTTGCATTTCATTTCTCTTTCCCCACATGTATTTCCATATGAAGGCATGCACATCTTTTCCTCTTTGTCCTTCATACTAGTTGGATGAGAAAAAAATAGACTGAACAATTTAAAGGGAGGTTATTTACCAGCAATGGTCCTCAACATATTGTCTATATATAATCACATGCAAGTGTCCTCCCAGCTTAGTACTAAAAAACAGCTGTTTTGTCTCACCACTAGAGTCTGTAGGAGGTCACACAAACCCTACCATTCCCAAATGCCATAATGCTACAATAACATAGCAATGTGTGCCTTATGCCCCTCTTCCCTGCCTTCAAATCCACTAAAATGTTCAAGAACTGAGTGGGGTGGGAGGACAACCTGTTACCAAAGAGATCTGAAAGAACCCTGTTACTGGTGAACAGAGGTTTTTTGTTTATACTGAGTCCTTGTTTCTACATACATTTATGCAATCATAAGAAGCAGCACAGCCTGAAATCCTCAAAAAACATCAGAGGATCCTAGAGACACTAGGCTGAACAAAAAGTACATCAGCATTAGAGAACTCTGCAGTGGCGAGGTAGTTGGTGAAAGAGTGCAGTGCTCTTCCGCAGTGCTCTTCACACACAGGCTCACACATTACAATGTGCAGCACTACACTGCTTAAGCTTTAGTACCCAGGTAATTGCAGGCAGCTCCACGTTGGGAAATCTCATAAAAGGTTGTTACACAATTAGGTACTCGATAAAAATATCCACAGAGACAGTCAACTTATTTGTCTTTTGGGATCTAAAAAAATCTTTAAAAAAAAAAAAATCTATCTGCAAGTAACTTTCCTTGCAGGTTTTTCTGGTATCCACAAAAATACAAGACACATTTAACATTCCCACTTCATCCTCAGAGGACTGAAGGACTAAGGATGGGCAACAAGATTTAAGCCCAGCTGAGAAAACAAGCCCTTGATGGACTGAGAAACTCTACTTAGAGTTAACAACAGTGTTATGTTTTCCTACCTTTTCCCATCCAATCATATGCAGTTATAACAGAGACAGAAAGCCACAAATTGTTCTTCCATAGGAAAAAACTTAAGATCAGAAAGAGACACCAGGTCAACTGACACACCAGGTCAACGACATGAAATACTTGGCCATTCTGATGCTAGTGTTAACACTGAGCTGGTAGTTACACAGAATTCACACATCAAGAGCTCTAGGGCTCAGTGCCAAATGCTGTGATCCTGGCAACTGCTGCTAACAGGAATAACATGAATAAGGAAGGACGGGAACATACATCTAATGAGATCTGCCCCATATTTCTTACAGAATTTATTTAGAAATCAAGATTTTTAGCTGGATGAACTACAATTAAAAATACTATGGAACACCTACGGTTCCTGATTACTCTTGAAAGTAAGCAGGACCTTGCCACTTGTTACAGTTACTACAGAAGGGATGCAAGATAGGAAGGATCAATGTGGCAATGCCAAACAGTTCTGGGATGAGGAGTCAAGAAAAATAAAAATCATTGATTCCTCCTGTACAAGTCTCTTATAACTGGAAGATCAGAAGAATGACAACATACAGAAAGCAAGCAGTATTGCTCATGCTTTTTGTTTGCATAATCAATCATCAGAATGTATCAATTGGTCAATAACCCAGTTTGTGTCTTGCAAATTTAATGCTTCCTCTTAAAACAGAGGGTAAGTAGAAGGAAGACAAGGAAAGATGGCCCAGCAGCTGCAGAACTGGAGAAGTATGACATTTATGTCATAAAGAGGAATAAGATAAATCCCCTCAAGCAATTAAACTCTTGTTAAAGGAAAGATCAGGAAAGGGCTAAGACCAAATTTGAGGGATCAGGCCAGAAGTAAAAGCCACCCCAAGAGAAATCCATATCCTGAGACCAATAAGTAATGATGGTATTCCAACAGTATGAGCACATCCCTTCCTCAAGTTATGACTGGGACAAGTGAATCCAGGGAAGAATCTGGTCAGCATGCCATGCTAGACACAGAACTGATGCTGGCACTCTTCAGTACGTCAGCACTGGTGCATTAGAAGTCAGTGCCAGAAGGGACAGGACTGAAAATCCTATTAACTTGTGCTGGTGGAGATGATAATTGCATAGACTGCACCATTTCTGTCTCCAGTCTGAGGAACCACATCCATCAGAGGCAAGGTAGTGCTGAGTGCATAAGGCTCTTTATCTGCAAAACCCGTATTAAATTCCACAAAGGAACAGGACATCTGAAGAATTCAGCAAGAGCTCTGAAACAGGGTTTAAGCTTGACTGCTTCACATGAGGGCAAATGACAGTGTTCCCATAGTGATAAAGCTGATTTCATTGGTAAGAATGCAAATGTTCATCTGAATGACAAAGCTTTGAGAAAACTTGCCTCCAGGTTCCATGCTGGCTTCACAGGCTTTCCAAAAACAATGTTCTGTCGGTTCTCTTGTACATAAGTTTTAAAAGAACTAAAAATATACCACCTTAGTCCATGATAAGAACTTTACACAGGAAGTAAAAGTACTGTTGTCATAGCCAGTGGGATATGATCACTTCCAACACCAACTCTGAAAAGCCTCTCCAAAGCCAAACCCAAAGAAAAGACATTTGAAAGTGACTGAAAAGCTTTGTTATTGAACAGAAGAGCAACAACAGACTTCCATATCTCCGGGGTGCTGTTACTGTATTAATTCTACTTCATTTCTGCATGTCCAACTTGAGATGTAACTGTAAAGGATGCTCAAGCTACACTAAGAAAAATTCTGATCGTTAGGACACATATTGACAAAAGCAAAAGATCATCCCTGAAAAACACAAGCACCCTTGGACGCTTTGTTCCCCTGCTCTTTGATAGTGTTAAGGATGTTCCTACTGGTACAGCTATGGCAAAAGAGGGAAAAAAAAAAACCCCAAAACAAACCACATCCACTGCTGGGTATGAAATATACTCCCTGTAAATACATACAGAAGAGCACTCAAACAAACTTGCATTTTGTCTTGCAGGAATTAAAAGCAGTGGTCACTTTCAGTTCCTCCAGAAGGCAATGCCTTTAAATTTTGCTCATTTAATTTTATTAGAAATCATTAGTTCGCTATTATTAGTAGAGCAGATTCTGCATCTCTAGAATGCAGTTTAACAATCATCGAATACTGGGTCAAATTTGGCCCAATGTCACAATCATGACATTAAAACTCTGGGCACAGTGCATGCTTATCAGTCAGCACCGCTCATGAGACAAGACTAAACTTAGTAGATTAAAGCAGCCACCAGAAAACTTACTTTCTCAACATAGCTTACAACAATTTAAAGATGTGAATTTGTGACTAAATGGTTGCCTGACCCTAAGATGTCTTCTTGTAAAGATTAAGGTGAAAAAGTTGTATCCATATTTGAAGGAAAAGGAACACAAAGAACTTGCTGGTGGTAAAAAATCCCGACACTTGCTGTAAGATAAAGAGCTCATGCCAGCCAATAGAGCTTTCTTACCTAAGTCATTTTGGATAAATGAACAAGATGAAAGGAAATGTCATGTGGAACCATAGATTTGTGTACATTAGAAGGGACACATGAAGGTTATACAGTTCAGTCCTTCTGATTGCTCAGGGTCTTGGCGCAACTCAGTTTTGAGCATCTCCAACAATGGTGATCTCACAACCACTGGACAACCTATGCCAGTGTTCAATCACCCACAGAGTTAAAATTTTTCTTGATATCCAATCAGAACTTCCCAAGGTACAATTTGCAGCTGTTGCTTCTCATCTTAGCCTTGTGCACCTCCAAGAAAAGCCAGGCTCCATCCCCCGTTAAGTTGTTGCAGATGGTGGTAAGACATGCCCCCCCTGCCCACACGCTTCTCTTCTAAAGGCTGAACTAACCCCGCTCTCAGCTTCTACGCAGAAGTCGTTTGCTTCACCCCCTGAGCATCTTGGTGTCCCTCACTCCAGGATGTCAATGTCAGATTTTACAAGTTAGTTACCTGACAGCAGAGAAGTTGCTTCTCCTTAAGAAAGAACTTACACAGCTAAGTGATTACCCAATTAGCTTTTAAAAAAAATCAAAACAGTATTCTGCTGCTAACAGCATTAAATGTGGAAGGCTCTAGAAGTGTCACACTACCCTCTGTTCAATTAACACTTGCTCAGACAATCACTGTAAATACGAGGCTGTTATTCTACTCAGTTTGTCGGACCACACCCAGTCAATCACTGGATTAAGCTGAAAATAGTTTATTTGGTAAAAAAAAATACAATGGAAGTGAGGTTTTATACAGACAACCTACTTGGTATCATGGACCTAGGCATTCCCTTTCAGTTACTGGCTATGGCTATTTGTTATTAGTCCACACAGAATTATGAGCTTGTTCAGCTGTCTTCCTCTAAGTCAGATACATTACAAACACACTCAAATACCACTTCACATACAAACAACTTCCGTAAGTGCTGTAAGAATGCAATATAATAGAGTGTTAGGAGAAATTTGAGTAACCAATGAACAGCAACGTATGACAAGTTAATCTGTGTAGTCAAATGTGGTATACCACATGGAAAAGTCTGAATCCTCCCCTTAAGCTTTAGGGCAGACCTTTGGATATTAACCTTTTCCCTGAAAAGGGAATGAGCTTAGGATTTTTTTGTTGTTTGGGTTTTTTACTACTGCATGGAATGGGCACATGGAATGGATCAGACCAACCCTATCCCTAGTGACCTCTTCCATCTTTTTAAGGAAAGAATTCAAAACGGCCAGTAAATTAAAATAGTTTAATGCCTCAGCATTTGCTATAGCTCTGAGTTTGCCAGATGCCTGAGCGGGTCCTCTAGTATATTAAGATCTGGGATTTTAAACTGCTCTACAGATTTAATTTGAAATACATTTCTTCAGCTCTTATCTTGGATTATAAGGACACTACTGGTTTGATTATAACCACTTTAAGAGCCCAGTGTGAAAGAAGTACGTATCTCACATACTCCCTAGTGGCTACATCCTTTGGGAAATCACTATGTCAATTTAGGTCTATACATAAAGAATTTATATGTAGGCCAGTTAAACACATACATGCTTTACAGAAATCAATTCCTTTTGCTAACATGTTTGAAAAGCTATGAACTCCCTGGATAAAAACAATGAACTGAGTATACTAAAGAGACCAACGGTTTCTGTCACATATAAGGAAAAAGAGCTATTCAGGTTTTTGTAATACTATTACATAAAATTACCTCATATTAAAAGGAAAGAACATGAAAGTTTAAGTTTTAGTGAGCATACTTTTGAGGAGTTATTTATGCCCCTACTGTAAACAGTATTCTAACACAACATTTAGTACACATAATTGTAAACAGAGGTCAGATCTTACCTCTTCCTGTATCCCACTGGTAGTAGTTAATTTACTTCCATCAGTAACTGTTATAATTATTGCTGGCTCCAGAAAAAAGGGGTTTCGTCCCTAAGGGAAAAAAAGCAATTTCATTTAAAATGCTGTAAAAAATTTGTAAGCTTCTGTTCAGTCATTAAATGGCTACTGATACCCACCGACAAAACAGTGAGGCCTGAGGTACTTATTCTCACATACTATATAGTACAGTACTATGGAGTTTTGAGTCTTTTTGCAGTTAGACCATGTAAAGCTATGCACTTAATATATCTATATTCAATAAATGCATACAGAAACATGGCAAAAATGGTCAATGTAGGACTTTGAGCACTGTGTGTACTGCAGTATTCTGACAAACTAGCAGCTGTTTAAAGAAACAACTGTCTCCTCAAACCAGAGATACTTCCAATTCCCCCTATTCCAGGGTTGATTTTAAGTGTGATTTAATTACTGTGTGACCAGCTAAAGCATTTGCATAGTACCTTGTGATCATGATCCCTGGGTTAAGAACTAATATTCTATGTATTAATGAAAATTCTGACATGAATAGTACCAGTTACGTTTTGACCAAGGTGGTTCAACCATGCACGCAAGACGTACTTCAGAAACAAATACTTGAAAAATAGATAAACTTTCTAGATTAATCATTTAAGATAGAAACATATACAAGGTAAGACATTCTGTGATCCCACCAAAACATTCAACCAGTTTAGCTGTAACAAAACCCCCTGGTTTGCTACTGGCACTTCCTTAATATGCCAGGAGCCTTCCGTCCCTCCTGAAAAAGAGGATCCCAAAGTAATCCATGCACATGTCAACTCCAAGCCCAAGCAGCACACTCCACTCTATGTAGGGCTAAAAACAGACTGGGTAAAAGCCACCACCAGCTTTTGTTTAGTGGGCCCCACTCTCCTTCTATTGTCAAGCTTCAGGCCTTGTTTTTCTTCTTCAGAAAACAATAAAGAAAAATACAACTAGATCCACAGCCTAGTTCTGCTTATAAAGACAAATTTACTCTAAAAATATGGAGAGAGAACTAATATGTTTTAAGAAAAAGACCTTTAAAGCCATTTTTTAGAACCCATTTAATATAAAGGATCATTGCCTGATCATGTGCTTGGAACAGAAATATCACCTAACGATTTGAAATATATTTGGTGAGGGGTGTCCACTCTGAAGTGGCAACACCACTCACAGTGATCAATTTACTAGATGCCAACAGAAAAATTAAAAAGTTATCTGCTCAATATTTTCTCAAACCTTAGGGGTTTTGAGTTTTTCTTTTAAAATAGCACACCATTACTATGATAAAAAACATGCAAAAATAAAATTAAACACTGAAGATCAATCTCCCACGAAAGCTAAGCTAGTTCATAATCCAATTTAAACCATTACTCAAAAGAACTTAAGGACTCTCAAAGTACACTCAATTTTAATTAAAATAATTTCCATAGAATATTTAGCCTTATTTAATTCTGAAAAACAGTTACAGTATGTTATTCTGCCAACTAGTAGTTCACCACAACTGCAAAACATCAGCTAGAAGCTAATTACATTGCACTAAAATAATATTGAAAGTGGGGTTTCTAACTAGAGGAAAAGCACATTGGTCTCATGAATACTGAACATAACAATACTTTAATCCTATTGCTAATAAATGATTCTAAAAATAAATTCACAATTGATAAAAATAACAAGATTTTAGATTTAGAATGTCATAAGCAATGTTCTTTAGGTCAATATCCTGGTCCACTTTGAAATTTAAGTGTTAAAAATTTAGTCTCTGACAACCCCTATTATCCAGATATCCTCATTAGCTTAAACATTTTTGTGTACCTCAACTATAATCTTTCTCAATTTTACCCATCTAAAATTTAAGCATTAAACTTAAACACTTAGGGCTCAGAATGACTATGAAATCATAAGGAAGGAAACGAGATACTAAGCTTGAGGCCTCCCCCCCCCCCCCCCAAAAAAAAATTCCAAGGGAGAAATTACTTCATCCTCAGTCTATCTTTTACAATCTCACAAGCATTTTACCCATACAACGGATAATCACCGCAGACATACTAAGTCAAGAATCAATTCATGTAGCAACATATTTACAAAAGCCAGAATCTCTTTTTACCAGAACAAGAACATTCATTTGCAGCCATAGTAACAGCAGATTTGAGAATCTCTGCCACCAAAGACAAAGTAACTTACATTTCCACATGTATCATCTACAGGATAACTGTGGAAATGCTAGCCATGCACTGTTGCGGAACACTTCACACCTGTTTAAGTAACAAGGGAAGGTTTCCCCTTGAAATCTCTTCTTCACTAGCTAGATGTGAAAATACAGTAATCTTGAGGTCATCAACTCATCGATACAGCTATAAATATTACCCTTTCTAAAAAGAATTTATGAAATCAAGTCACAGAGTACACAGTTCACCACTGAATTATTAAAAGACAAGTGAACAGAGCTGCAGTTAGGTTCACGGCTCCATGCAATTTAGAAACATGAAATGAGTATCTATGGTCCACCTAAAGGAGCAGAAACATAATTAAAATATATCAAGGAAGAATTTCAGATAAAATGTCTACTATTGAGGTTTACTATTTTTGTCTAAAAATTTCCATGTCATTAATTCTTAAAGAACACCGCTGACTATTCTGACCCTACTCCTCACTTTAGTTATACGAAGGCATACAAAACCAGTATTAAGTCAGGTATTCCTATAAAAAAAGAAACCCACTCTTACTTTTATATAAGTTCTCAAAACTCAGAGATGTTTCAGTATATTTGGCAAAATGAAATTCTGGAAGACTCACACTTACCAATTTTTTAAAATAAACTGCAGCAGTTTTGTCAATTGCTGTTTTAGAACTTTACTTCAGTCCAATAAAATTATTTTCTATTGCTCTTCCTTTAGAAATATACTATTAAAATAAAACACTACGAAATATGTTCTTGAAAATACATAGCAACACCATTGACTGTGAATGCCTATGAAATCAATTCAGCACAGCTCCATCGTTTTAGTTCCGCAGTGAAACTGTGAGTGGCAGAGCACACATTACCAGCTCTGTGGCAGCCTACAGGTATGCCGAAATGCACTGCAAATCAGCTCGGCATACCAAGGTGTAAATAAGAAGCCTGGTTACAACTTACTCTGACAACTAACTAATCACCACGAGGTTTTGTTCATTTCAGAAGAAAAATAATCCAGCAGCTAATTTTAGTTTCACCTTACATTCCCATGCAGGAAAGTCAAAGATAGAAAGCGTAAAACCCTGAGTTCTTGAAGTAAGTAGGCCTTAGTACCAAGATCAACTCAGCCTCAGTACCAATACCTTGGGAAAAATAAGGGCATCACTCACAATTTCAGCTGCATTATATAGGCCTATTCTAACAAGTATACAAGCAAAAATACTTCTGTTCTTGTGTTACCTGTTTTCAGACCGATTATAACCAGTGATAGTCTCAAAACTCAACTGCTATGTTTAAACTGTGGCAGTTTGAGCCCCAATTTACTACTCAGGCTACAGTGAATTGAAAAATTTTATTTTAAACTCTTATTTTTAAATAGGTTTGCTTATAAACAAACATTTTAGAAAAAAACCTAAATGTTCCTTATTTTTCTAGGTGAAAATTCTGTGGCAACTGGCTCCCACAGGGACTTCAGCTAATTGTGCCATGTGGGCAAATTGGCTTGTTTGGTATCCTTTTCTGTCCAAATAGCTGAGCATCATCTGACTGAAAGCTCTTTTCAATAACACGCTTTTCCCTCTGAAGGTTCCTAGCAGTGGTGAAGAAAAGTACTAAGGAAGAAGCACCAAAGGTTTTAATGGCTGATCATCCTGTTCAACCACCGAGTCCTGTAATGTGGTACAAGAGGATTTTTTCATTCACCTACAATCTGCATTTTCAAGGGCAGATAGGCACCAAGGAGACAAAAAATCCCCCACACCTCTTTTTGGTAGTTACTTAAAAATCAGCATCAATACCAGGGCAATCTTGCAAGCTTGCTAGGCTAAAATGGAGTAAGCAAGAGATTCAAAGCCTTAGAACTAACTTATCTGTTACACAACACACATTCTTTTGAACAATTTGACAGCTTCACAACTATTTGTTCCAAATCACAAAGCAACTCAGTTACGCTGGCTGCCATTTCTTCAGTCTCCAGCTGAAGTAGTTCTGTGCTCAGATAATACACAATAAATACAGAGCTGTGAGCACCACTGAGCTCCGCGCCGCTCACACCGGGTCCCAGCAAGCAGCACAGCCAGCCCACCCCAGCTTGCATGATGTTCTGAGGGAGCCTCAGATTGAGCCAGAAGGGTATCAAATTGTCAAGACCATTGTTGTCTGGTTAAGACTCTCAAAACTAAGAATTCACTTTTGTAGGCAAGTAAGCTTAGCAACCAGTTTCAGCACAACTAATATATTCATGGATATTTTTTTTTTCTTTTTCAAAGCGTAAAGCAACTCAAAAGCTATCATGACCTTCAGATGTGCAAGTATACAATAATACATATGCAGTAAGAGAAAACTGATTTAAGACTACTGTTACCTCAATGCACACATTTAAACATTAAGTTCAGAGTCAGAAGTGTTGAAAAACTTAAGAAATAGCTGAGGTAGAAACATGAGCAAAAAAATGCCAAGCCAGAGACTAAAAATGTCATGTTCAACAAGCAACTACTATAAAAAGAAATAAGTATTTGGTAGTACAAAAGCTTCATGCCCAAGAAAGGCTAGAAGTTGGAAATAAACGTAAACTGAAATACAGTGCATATTTATAACAGAACACATTACTAATCACTGGAAAAAAATCGTTTTCAGATCACAATCAAATGCCTACAAGGTAAGCGTTCATTTCAGTAAGTCACAAAATTTAACAGAAGTTGTATTGCACATCCACCATACATTATATTATCTCAGCAGAGCCTTTTTATTTTCAGAAGTATCAGCCCTAACTGCCAGTAAACTTAGTCATCTGACCAGGAAATACAGAAGTGCACTATCAGTTTTTTCGACTCAATCAGGTTTTTTAGAATTGAAAAGGTCAAGATTCTCATAAATG